ATTAAAAAACAAAGCAAGCCCACAGAACCTAAACCAAAAATACCCCACAAGACAGGCATGGTAGTGCATAGTTATAATACCAGTATATGGGAGGCTGAGACAGGAAGATCATGAATTCAAAGCTGACCTGGACACATAGCTAAGGCCTATCCAACCAGCAGCACAGCCAAATTCATGGAATGCTCTCAGCATAGGAGGGCCTATAAAGAATATCAGTGACTACTTCCTGTCCTCTATGGAAATCCCCTCAGTAGATCACAAGACAGCAGTAATTTTTTTACATCTGTTCTCAAGAGTCAGCTGGGATTTAAATTTCACAGACTCTAGTTTTACATGGCATTTCAGGCCACTAACAGTTTCTTTTATATTTTTCCTGAATTTATAGACACATAACAGTATGTGAATGTGAACTAAATTTCTTTCCTTCTTCCTTCTTTCCTTCCTTCCTTCCTTCCTTCCTTCCTTCCTTCCTTCCTTCCTTCCTTCCTTCCTTCCTTCCTTCCTTCCTTTCTTTTTTGGTAGTACTAAGGTTTGAACTTATGCTTGCTATGCAGGTGTTTTACTATTTGAGCCATGCTCCAAGCCCTTTCCGCTTCAATTATTTTTCAGATAGTCTTGCCTTTTTGCCCAGGGTCGGCCTGGCCTGAGATCCTTCCATTAGTGTCTTCGGCAGAGCTGGGATGATATGTGCTACCGCTTCTGGATTATTGATTGAGATGAAGGAGGCAGGGTCCTCACTATTTGCCACAGCTGGTCTCCAACTATGATTCTCTTGATCTCCTCCTCCTAAGGAGGCGAAATTACAGTCATAAGCCATTATGGATGCCTAGTGTAAATATGGATTTTGGAATAACAAAAGGAGTCTCTGAAACTTAGAATCCCTCATTTGCAAAATTTCCTGACTTCTCAGACTTTGCCTTGTAATAAGAAACTTCAGGTTCTACCCTGAAATTACAGCATCCCCTTGTAGCCTGGTTAAACAATGAGTGAGGTTGGCTTTTTATTTTATTTTTTCCCCTCTAAATTCAACACCTTTGGGCCTGGACATTCAGGAAGTTAGATCTCCTTCTCCTCCTCCTGCTCCTCTTCTTCCTCCTCCTCTCCTCCTCCTCCCCTCCCCCTCTCTCTCCCTCCCTCCTCCTCCTCCTCCTTCCTCTTCTCCCAGATCTTAGGTTCTTTTTTTTCCCTCAGGAACCCCCAGCCCCTTAGAAGCTCATCTACTTGTCTGCTTTCCTGCTTACCTGTAGTGCCTCTAGGTTTCCAGCTCCTGGGGTATTGTTTTTGTTTCTCATCATTGTGTTTGTCATTATTTTCAGTGGTCACAGTATCCAATCTGTGTCTACCACCTAGCCTTTCAATTCTTACACCACTTTTTTTTTTTTTTGGGGGGGGGTCCGTTTGTGGGGCCTGAACTCTGGGCCTAGGCGCTGTCACTCAGTTCTTCAGCGCTCTACCACTTGAGCCACAGTACCACTTCCAGCTTTTTCTGCTTATGTGGTGCTGAGGAATTGAACCCAGGGCCTCATGCATGCAAGGCAAGCGCTCTACCACTGTCACCTTCCCAGCCCCTCCAACAGGTTTTATTCAGGAAGAAAACAAAACCTGGGAAGGTTAGCCAAGTCTTCTGGAGCCTGGATAAAGGGTAAATGGAGCACCCCCTTACAACGATGGTCCCTGAAAATATTAGAAAAAGTGAAGTCAGTGGGGCAGATGGAAGCGGAGAGAGATGGAGTGGGGTGGGAGAGCAATGTTATTTTTTATTTTATTTTTTTGTTGGTCGTGGGACTTGAACTCTGGGCTTGGGCGCTGTCCCTGCACTGTTCAGCCCAAGGCGAGCACTCTACCGTTTGAGCCACAGCACCACTTCTGGTTTTCTGGTGGCTAATTGGAGATAAGAGTCTCATGGACTTTCCTGCCTGGGCTGGCTTTGAACTGCAATCCTCAGATCTCAGCCTTCTGAATAGCTAGGATTATAGGCGTGAGCTACCAGTGCCAGGCTAGCAATGTTATTTTTCTGACGAGTTTCAAGGTTTCAGAAGTATCTGTGACGCTAGGGGCATCAGTGACAGATGAGGCCTTGATTTCAGTCTCTCTTCCAAGACTGCCAGTGCATTTGTTCAGGAGGAAGGGGAGAGGAGATGATTCACTGGAGTGGGAAACAAGGATAGTTCAAGGGAATTGCTGTTAGGGAGAAGATGAGTGCTTTTAGCTTAAATTATTTTCTATCAGCTGAGAATCACAGTTTGAAGCCAGCCTGGGCAGGAAAGTTTGTGAGACTCTTGTCTCCAATTAACCACCAAGAAGCTGGAAGTGGAGCTTTGACTGAAGTGGTAAAGCACCAACCTTGGGTCTAAAAGCTCTGTGATAGGGGCTGGGAAGGTGGATCAGTGGTAGAGAGCTTGCCTTGCAAGCCAGAAGCCCTGGGTTCGATTCTTCAGCCACCACATAAGCAAAAAGAAAAAAGCCAGAAGTGGCGCTGTGGCTCAAGTGGTAGAGCGCTAGCCTTGAGCTGAGGGACAGCGCCCAGGCCCAGAGTTCAGGCCCCATGACCCGACCCCCAAAAAAATAAAATAAAAATAAAAGCTCTGTGATAGCCTCCACGTCCTGAGTTCAAGCCCTGGTATGTACACACACACACACACACAAATAAGCAACAGAAAGCAGGATTGGAAACATGGCTCAAGTGGTAGAACACCCACCTAGCAAGGAAGCCCTAGACCAGTCTGTCCTTCAACTGGAGATCTGCCAACCTCAGCTTCCTGTGGGCTAGGGATTATAGATAAGCACCACCATGCCCAGCCTTCATTCAAGCTCTTGATTTGTAACTTTTCATTTTCCATCATCATCCTTCATCTTTTCATTTATCTTCTTAGTTTTTTCTAAGACTCTTCATTAGAATGACTCCCTCAAACCCCTTGATTCTGTCCCTGTGTCCTGATTGTCTAACAGAAGCCCAATCCTGGTGAAATCCAACATTTAGCTTACATTAACGTACTGGTTAGATTCATCATCTGTGCCTGGCACTTGGATGGCTGAATCTGTCTGGCAAAAGATTTGCAGCTGTGTTGACTTTCTCACTTTTAAAATCTATAGCCACAAACTCCAAAGGGCCCCTTGACAATGCCCTGTCGACTCATTTACCAGCTCTTTCAGTGATCAATTCACAATGTCTCTCTTTCTTTCACATTTCCTGTCACTGACAGTTAATCACTGAGCAAATAAGGGCAATCAGGAAACATCTAAATGCTTCCCCTACCCCCAAATCTACCACCTGATCAGCACATTCTCTGTCTTCCATCCTGTTCCAATGAATAATGTAGCTCTCCTTCTGAGTCCTGCTCCTCCATTACTACCTGGATACACTCTAGCCCGTCCCAGCTACTTAAAGAACTTCCCTTCTACAGTCGTTCTTTCTTTTTATTCCTTTTTTTTTTTTTTGTCGGTCACAGAGCCTGAACTCTGGGCCTGGGTGCTGTCCCTCAGCTCTTCAGCTGTAGACTAGCGCTCTACCACTTGAGCCTCAGCCCCACTTCTGGCTTTTTCTGCTTATGTGGTGCTGAGGAATCCAACCGAGGGCCTCATGCATGCAAGGCAAGCACTCTACCACTGAGCCACCTTCCCAGCCCTCCAGATTGTTTTCATGTCTTTTTTTTTTTTTTTTTGCCAATCCTGGGGCTTCAACTCAGGGCCTGGGCAATGTCCATGAGTCTCTCTGTGCTCACAGCTAGCACTCTACCACTTGAGCCACAGTGCTTTTTCTGTGTATGTGGTACTGAGGAATCTAATCCAGGGCTTCATGCATGCTAGGCAAGCACTTTACCACTGAGCCACCTTCCCAGTCCCCAGTCATTCTTTCTCTTTCTTGCATCATTGGATTGTCCTTTACAGTCATTCCTAGTTTACAAATATACTATAAAATCTCCTGTTTTGGTTTTGTTTTGTTTTGGTCTGGTCGTGGGCCTGAACTCTGGGCCTGGGCGCTGTCCCTCAGCTCTTCAGCTCAAGGCTAGTGCTCTACCACTTGAGCCACAGAACCACTTCCGGCTTTTTTTTTTTCTGCTTAAGTGGTGCTGAGGAATCCAACCCAGGGCCTCATGCATGCAAGGCAAGCGCTCTACCACTGAGCCACCTTCCCAGCCCTTGGTTTTGTTTGTTTTTGGTGCCAGTACTGGGGCTTGAACTTAGGGCAGTCTCAGCTCCTAGTGCTCTACCACTTTAGTCACAGCTCTACTTCTGGGTTTTTGGTGGTTAATTAGAAATAAGAACCTTATCTGTGAGATTGGGATTACAATTGTGTACCACCATGCCCAGTAAGATGAGACCTCTCATGGGCACATGGGCATTACATGTGTTTGCTCTTGGATAGAGAACTGTCTGGGCCTTTTTTTTTTTTTCTTTTCTTTTTAAATTTGATAGAGTCTTACCATGGCAGCTCAGGTTAGATTTGAACTTGAGATCCTCCTGCCTAAGCCTGTAAAGTGCTGGTATTACAGACATGGGTCACAGTGCTAGTCTGGGCCTAGCTGGGCCTTTTTTTTTGGTCATGGGGCTTGAACTCTGGGCCTCGGCACTGTCCCTGGACCTCTTCAGCTCAAGGCAAGTGGAACCATGGTACCACTCCTGGTTTTCTGGTATTTAACTGAAGATAAGAGTCGCTTGGACTTTCCTGCTAGGGCTGGCTTTGAACTGAGATTCTCAGATCTCAGCCTCCTGAATAGCTTAGATTACAGGTGTGAGCCACCAGAGCCCAGCTTTTTTTTTTTTAAATAAGGGCACATTTAATCCTGGAGGCAGGGTGATGTGGTACATACCTGTAATCTTAGCTACTTAGACAGCTAAGGCAGGAGAATCTAGGCCTGAAGGTGTGCCCTGGATAAAAGCATGAGACCCTATCTGGAAAAATAAATCAAGTAAAAAAGCCAAAGGGATTGAAGGTATAGCTCAAGTGGCATAGTGTTGGCCTAGTAAGTTAAAGGCTTAAGTTCAAATCTCACTGCCACAGAAAACAAAACAAACAAACAAACAAAACCCCAACCATGTATATAGGGTATTTTCCAATTTAAAAAACGGCACATAGGGGCTGGGAAAGTGGCTCAGTGGTAGAGCGCTTGCCTTGCATGCATGAGGTCCTGGGTTCAATTCCTCAGCACCACATAAGCAAAAAGAAAAAAGCCGGAAATGGCGTTGTGGCTCAAGTGGTAGAGCACTAGCCTTGAGCTGAAGAGCTGAGGGACAGCGCCCAAGCCCAGAGTTCAGGCCCCACGACCGGACCCAAAAAAAAAAACAAAAAAAAAAAACCGGCACATAAATGTTGGATGTCAGGGGCTCACACATGTAATCCTAGCTACCCAGGAAGCTGAGATCTGAGGATCAAGGTTCAAAGCCAGCCTGGGCAGGGAAGTCTGTGTGTGTGTGTGTGTGTGTGTGTGTGTGTGTGTGTGTGTGTGTGTGTGTGCGTGTGTGTGTGCGCGCGCATGTGTGCATGCGCACGAGAGAGAGACAGAGAGAGACAGAGAGACAGAGAGAGAATGCGCCAGCTTTCAGTTGGCTTTTCTACTCAAGGCTGGTGCTCTACCACTCGAGCCACACCTCTATTTCTGGCTTTTTTTCTGGTTAATTGTAGATAAGAGTCTCTCAGATTTGTCTGCCTAGGCTGGGTTCAAACCTTGATCCTCCTATCTCAGCATCTTGAGTATCAGGATCATGGGTGTGAGCCATCAGCACCCAGCTACATCCTCAACGTTAGGTCAGGGGCAGGTGCTGGTGCTCTCTGAGGAAAGGCAGCTGGTAATCCTTTCTCCCTGTGGTAAGAGCCTTAGTTTCTAATGCTCTCCTTTCCTTTTGGGTCTCTGCAGGATGTGGGTTCCCTAGATGAGAAAATGAAGAGCTTGGATGTGAATCAAGACTCGGAGCTCAAGTTCAATGAGTATTGGAGACTGATTGGGGAGCTGGCCAAGGAAATCAGGAAGGAGAAGGCCTTGGAGATCCGGAAGAAGTAAAGCTTGCTGGCTTGGATGGGGGTGGATAGAGCAGGGCTGGGTAGGGTCAGGCAGCACCCCTCTTCCCGCAAATAAAATATTCTCCTTGAAACACAAATGTTTCCTATTCACATCCCACTTGATTTCTTCTCTTGATATTAGGGGTCTCTGCCCTGACCTGAGTGTGAGTTGGATGAGTATCAGTTCCTTGAAGAATGTTATCTTCAAATATCCTGTGGCATCTAGCAGAGGTCTTTTTTGTTTTTCTTCTTTGTGCTGGGGATCTGACTCAGGGACTTAGCATTAGGTCTTGTATTAACTAGGTGCTCAGTAAATAAGTGGTTGAGTAAAAGACACAGAGGGAGCAGGTGAGGTGGTGCCTAGCTCATCAGTTGGTTGCTGGACTCAGCTGCAAGGTTCTGGCTCTGATTCCCCCATTTTTCCTGTATTATTCCTAGACTTTGTCCTCTAGATGTAATGCATAGGAGGCAAGGGTGTTGGGCACATGGCTAGATATTTTACCTGCATTATCCTTTTTAATTCTCACAGCCCTTTAAAACCCATAGTATTCCAAAACCCAGTATGAAAGATGAAGAAACAGCTGGATGCTGGTGGCTCATGCCTGTAATCCTAGCTACCCAGGAGGCTGAGATCTGAGGATTGTGATTCAAAGCCAGCCTGGGCAGAAAAGTTCCCGTGAGACTCTTATCTCCAATTAACACCCCCCCCCCAAAAAAAAAAAAAAAGATGAAGAAAAAAATTTAGGATGTTTAAGTCACAAAGGCAAGAGCAGTGAGAGCCATGTATAGTGACCCAGGCCTGTAATTCTATCACTTTGGAGGCTGAGAGTGGGAGGATTGTGGTTTGAGTCCAACCTGGGCAGAAAGGTTCATGAGACCCCTTCTTAATCCATATCTGAGAACAGTGGCTCACCCATGGAAGAATGGGTTTGGGAGGCACAGGCCCGCCCAGGAAGAAAAGTTTACCACACTGTGTCCACAGAAGGAAAACTTGGCATGTGCCTATCATCTCAGTGACAAAAGGAAGTTTAAAAGTAAGTGGATCAGAGCTCGGGTTTGCACCAGGGTGAGCAGCAAGACCCTATCCTAAAAATAGGGCTAGAGGTGTTCCTCAGCAGTATCATAGGAAACAAGCTCAAGGATAGCTCAAGCTCTAATTCTAATTCTAGTACTTCAAAAGAGAGAAAAGGAAAATGAAAAGAGGAAGAAAGCAAGAGAAGGAGTAGCTGGAACTGGTATGAAATTCTAGTGCCTCTAATTCATGAGTCTTTTGCAGGTAGGTTCATGGGAACTTTTTTCCCCATCTCCCTCCCTTCCTCTAGAGCACAAGTGAAACAGAAGGGACTGGGGATCATGGTTTAAGGAAGTGAGGGAAGGGTGCTGGAGTAGCAGTTGGGGCCTGGCCTTCCCCTCCCTGTTCTTCCTGGCCTGAGGGGCATGTGGTTTGCAAAATCCACCACCAGAGAGAGCAGGGGTGGGACAGTGATTCAGGGCTGCCTTCTTGGACAGTCATTGTAGTGCCTACAGGTATTCACATGGGGCAGCTAGAAGTCCAGGGAGTTAGATGGAGAAAAGCTTCCCATCATATATCACAGAAGGGTCCCTGGTGATGTCCCCTCCCTCTCCCAAAGCCCTGCAGACAGAGGCTTCAGAAGGGCCATTGACAGAGACATTTCAGGAGGGCTTCCACACTGGGGATGTCTTTACAATGACAGGGACCCTCAGGCTGAGACTCCTCAGAGCGATACCATGCTCTCTCAGAGAAGCCCTGGGATGGAAAGACTCTCTGAAGGGTCTCTTCAGAAGCCCTTCAGAGGAACTGTCTGAATGGGACCCTTGTGGAAGGGCCACTGATGGAGACCAAAAGTACAAGAGAGCTCTAACAGGTGACATGGGTGGGGCACTGAGATGTGTGTTCTGATCTCAGAATGTAGGAGAGGAGTCCGGGAATTTTGCCTCTGCTTTCTCCGCCTGGGCCCTGATCCACGCTGACTCCACTGCTCTTCCTTCTGCGCCTCCCTATGACTGTGAGTTGGAGGCCTGGACAGATGAAGAGGATCACTTGGGTACAGTGCAGGCCTTCTAGGGTGACGTCCTAAGGACTGGATTGGAAGGCGGGTGGTGAGGTGTAGCCGCTGGGCCTGGGAAGACTTGGGATTCTGAGGGCGGAGGAGGTGGTTGTAGTCTAACCAGTTTGGAGGTGTGTTTAGCTGCCAGCGAACTCATCTGGGCCTAGCACATGTGCATTCTCGACTGCTGTAGGGAGCTCTTAGGAAGTCAGGTCAATGCTCCTTCTACCAGGCTTTTCTCTGGATCTTTCTCTTGACCTCCCCATTCCTTTCTGCCATCCTAACTGGGAGAGGTTGGGCTTTATGTCTGGGTAGGCTTGAAAGTCACAATCAAAATTGGCCCTGGTTGGAAAGAAAGAGACAAGACAGTCAGACAGGCAGGCAGGCAGGAAGCATACAGATATTGAGACACTGAACTTACAGAGAGACCCCTGTGGACCTTTTCCAAGTCCCTTTATTTCCCTTTGTCCCACAAACCTTTCTTTGATCAGCCCCTGTTTCTCTTTTCTCTTGATTAATGTAGACTCCTCTGCGTCTCTGCCTCACAATTTTCCTAAGCTCTTTCAGCTCCCAGGTGAGACCCTTCATGATTCCCCCTTCCTCCCTGTTCCTCCCCTTCTTTCCTAGTGACTGTTCATGTTGATTCAGAGCCAGGGGCAACCCAGCTCCAGGGGCCCTCCATGGCTCCCTCCTCATGGTAGGAGTGGGAACAGACTAGAGTTTGGGCCAGTGGAGGGTGGGGCCTGCACAGCTGGCTCACAGCCCGGGCTGCTGTAAGAGGAGGGCTGGCCAAGGGATGAGGCCCAGCCCGCTGCCTCCCCTCCCTTCCCCCAGGTATAATAGCTGAGCTCAGGTGAGCTGGTTCCTCCTGTCCAGTCTCAGCGGCTGCCAGCAGGTAAGGAAACCCAGGGCCTTTCATCTTCATGGGCTGCGCCTGTGTCTCTCTTTCCCCAAGTTTTCCAAGGGAGGGCTGGCGATCTGTGTCCTGGAGCTTGGTATGTGTGTTTGGAGCAGAAGTGGGTGGCTAGAGGAGGTGGGAAGAATGAATTTGAAGTGAAGCCTAAAGGATTGCCTCTAAATGGGTTGGCCTAGGGTCTGTGGGCAGGATCTAGGTCTGTGTATAGTTGACTCCAACCCATGGGTAAAAGAATACCTTGAGAGGTCATAGAGAAAGAAGGATAAACACTTGTTTTACTTTAGGCCTCCTCCTCTTCTAGGCAGATCATGAGCCATCAGCTTCCCTGGGATAGCCTATAAGACAACACAACTCTCACCAAAGGACCAAGTGCACCATGGGACAGTGTCGGTCAGCCAATGCTGAGGTGGGCCTATTTACCTGCTGGATTTGTTCCTACATTCCCTTCTTTCTCCCTAAGTGTCTATGTCTCCCACTGACTTGTGCTGCTTACTTTGGCCTTGCTCTGCACCTAGACCTGGCCAGGGAGACCTGAATCCTCCCCCGATCTCCACACACAGTGTGAAGCAGATGGAGTCCTTCTGGGAAGAGGATATCTGGGCACATGCTAGAACCTGTCCTGCTGGATTTTGGGGCTGTTGAGGAGGGAAGGCTTGCCTAACCTATGGCTCAGAGCAGAAGCAATTGTGGCCTGGAGGCCATGGTGGGCGTGAGGGAGAGGGGCTAGACTCTGGGCTCTGTGTATTTTCCCAGTTGTCTTTAGCCCAGTTGGCTTTGCCCAAGTTCCTGGGGGAAGCAGGTACCGTGGGAGTAGGTGGAACTTCCCTGACATGGCTCATTTCTTCTGCCCTCAGGATGCCCAGGAATTCAGTGATGTGGAGAGGGCCATTGAGACCCTCATCAAGAATTTCCATCAGTATTCTGCGGAAGGTGGAAAGGAGATGCTCACTCCCTCTGAGCTACGGGATCTAGTCACCCAGCAGCTGCCCCACCTTATGCCGGTACTGGGAGAGTAGACCCCACCCCATCTTGGCCCCTGACTTCCCCAGAAACTGTTCCAAGACCCCACCCCCACACCCTGGCAACCCCCAGCCCTTCCCTCTTGCCATAGCCTGGGCCCTGCTGTCTGCCTCCAGCCAGGGTGGGGTGGGAAGATCAGAAGGTACTAACTTGCTTAGCTGTGGTATCTTCCCTCCCCCCAGAGCAATTGTGGGCTGGAAGAGAAAATTGCCAACCTGAGCAACTGTAATGACTCTAAACTGGAGTTCGGGAGCTTCTGGGAGCTGATTGGAGAAGCAGCCAAGAGTGTGAAGCTGGAGAACCCAGTCCCAGGAAGTTGACATCCTCATGGAATTCTGGGGGAAGGGGGTTAGGGTAGGGTGGAGGGGGAAGGGAACCTTAGAGACTGTGGACCTGGAAATAAAATTTCTTTCCACCATCACTACACTATTCCCCAACTTGCACCTCTCCTCATCTCTGCAAAGTCCAGGCTCATAACAGCCATCTGCCCCGTGCTATCCCTTCTTGCTCCCAACTCAGTCTCATACTCCTCCCAGCACTCTGTTCCTGGGCAAGGGCAGGGGAAGAAAGGGAACAGGATCAGGGAAGAGGCGGAGAAGGGTGTGATTCTGGGGATAAGAGAACCCAGCTGGGTGCTTGGGCATTTACAGAATGATGGTTGTTTTGTATCAATTTGATTAATAAAAAAAATGGAAAAAGTAAAAGATGTTGTCTTGATTGGACACACCCCCTCCCCCCACCCGTAGGACCCCTGGATGAGAGCTTCTTGGGGTTAAATGGAAAAGTCATTGGTGGGGGTGAACATTTAGGGCTGGAGTGGTTGGCAGGGATTGAGTGCTCACTTTCCCCATGGACTTGGGTCAAGGGTGGTCCTGGGCCTGAAATGTGGGAGTCCTGGTCCATTCTTAGGAATAAGGGCTCTCCTTGCCAATGGGCTTTCAGACAAGTGTACACATTTGGGATAAAAAACATGAGCCCACATATTTTCAGGCCCAGATGACGAATGGCAAGGAAAATAGGGGCTGAGAAACAAGCTAACTGGCTTAGGATTGAATCCCAGCTCTGCCATTTTTGAAGTTTGGGGGCATGCTCATGGAGTATCTTTCCTGATCTATAAAATGTGACTCATCACAGGAGTGTTGGGCGGATGATGGGGCCCATAACACAGTCTGACGTGTGATGTTCTTAACTGACAACTTGACATATCATGGGTGAATAAATTGAAGTCACTGTGGAAGTTGGTGACAGGGTCCTCTGTGGTTCTAGCTGTGACCTCGCTAAACAAGATGGCCAGCTTCCTTGGGTATCTGAAAGATGAGAGGTGGGAGTTTGCAGAGGGGGCCTCAGCTGGGCGTGAGAGGGTCTTAGGGATGGGTCTCAGGAGAGTTCAGGATAACTGAACTAGAAAGACCAGAATCTTGGCTTCCTGTATCTGCCTTCTGACTTGGACCAACAGCTATCAGGTGTTTCTCCTGGAATCCCAATAGCAAGGAAGTTTCTGTGGCCAGCTAGGCTAGCCTGGAATGCTAACTGAACTTGTCTGTTAGGTGCCCCTGAAACTGGGCTCTCAGTGACCTAGGTAAGGGCAGGTGGCAGCCCTTCCCTGCCTTTCTCCACCTTGTGGGGCTCTGCTCAGGTCCTGAGGAGTAAGAAGGGTGGGGTTGGGGGAGTGCCAGCTTCTACCACTCCTTCTGGGGTGGAGGTAGAGGGGTGTTAAAAAAGGTGTGTATCCCTTTAACAAGGGCCCAACCCCAGGGCCAAGTCAAGAGGGAGCTCAGTCACTACCTCCCCACCGAGCCAGCTCAGCCAGGCAGGGCCGGGAGGGAGTGGGACAGATTCTGGGAGTGCAGCGGGGAGGAGTCCTGGCTGGGCTGAGCGGGGAGCTTGCTTGGCAGTGCCAGAGCCCAGGCCCTAGATCCCTGCTGGAGAGGCGGTGGACCGAGGAGGCAGGTGAGCACCCCAGGCCCAGCCTGGGACACCGGTGGCTGCCCGAGGGAGTCTGTAGACTTGGGAGGCCAGTGAAGGGGGCCTGAGGACAGGGGCCTGCCCCAGAGGCCAGCCAGGAAGATTTTGGTAATTATTAACTTTTTCCCAAAGGCCAGTTTGGGAGTGGGGACTGCTGGTAATGTCGGAGGCTGGGTGAAGCTCCAGAGAAGTGGATGGGGTAGCAAGATCCCCTCCCTGGCCCAGCAGCTGACTGGGCTCGTCTCCAGGGGCTAGGACATTGGGCAGTTCACGCCGGAGCCTTGCCCGCAGCTGTACAGTCCCCTCCAAAAAGAAAAGGGCAAGTGTATGTCAGTAGAGACCCTGGTCTCATAGAGCTCTGTTAATTGGGTCCTGGGAAAGGGTTTGAATTCAAGAGGAACCAGGGAGGGCCCAGGGAGCCTGAGAACCCAAGGAGGGGAGTCTGGGGCATTGGTGGCCTCTGTTCTACCTTTTGGGCAGGCCCCACAGGTCCCGGATGCAGGCTCCATGGTGCTCAGGGTGCTGTTCTTTGGGAGGAGCCTGGGTGGGGCCCTGGGGAAGCCTGGGAGCTTCCCTGGAGAGGGAAAGGGAAAGGGGTTGAACCTCGAACCAGCAGCTTCTCCACCTCAGGACCCAGGCAGGTCCTGGCTTGACTTGCTCTGGTTGGCAGAGCCAACTGTACTATGGGTGCATTTTCCTGCCCAGTCCTGTTGAGGTGGGGGCAAGGTCAGGCATGGTGGTGAAGTGGGCTCAACCTTCTGTACCAACTTGTGGAGAGCTGTCAGTGTGAGAGAGGCCAGGGGCAGCCAAGTGTGTGTGTGTGTGTGTGTGTGTGTGTGTGTGAACTTTATTTGTCTGGAAAAAAATTAGAGAAGCCTGAAATCAAAGTAGGTAGAAGGTAAATGGGTTACTCAAGTAGAAGGGATCAAGAATGGCAGGATTTCTTGTCCTGTGTGGGTTTGTCACTGGTAGGGTATTTGGAAAAGAGAAGTGATCCTTTGATAGAAAAAAAGACTACTTACTCAGTTTTCCAGTCATTTACCAGATACCCTTGAACTTGGACTAATGATGAGAAGAAATTTGAAATATCTCATGAAAGAGTCTCATAGGTAATAGCCAGCAAAAATTTATTTAACACAAGAAGTCAAAGTAGGGAGAAAGGAAAGGACAAGAAAATGAAAGCTCAAAATATGGTCTTCATTCCAGAGGTGTTATGTCCTATAAATGGGCTGAGATATTTTATTAGTTCAAACCTGGTCATCTAGCAATTTTCCAATTATCTGGTTTTGGTATTGTCACCTTAGCAGAGAGACAATGGATCTAAGTTAGCTTTGTAATCAAAGGATCTTGAGACATGGAAATATGTTCCTTGTGATTCTTTTGTTGTTGTTGTTGTTGGAGCTTGAACTCTGGGCCTGGGCACTGTTCCTGAGCTCTTTTTGCTTAAGGCTAGCTCTCTACCACTTGAGCTACAGCACCACTTCCAGTTTTCTGGTGTCTAATTGGATATGAGGCTCATGGACTTTCCTGTCAGGGCTGGCTTTAAATTGTGATCCTAAGATCACAGCCTCCTGAGTAGCTAGGATTACTGGTGTGAGCCACCAGTGCCCAGCTCCTTGTGATTCTTTTAAGGTATTCTTACTGGTCACAGATTTACAAATAACAGAGACCTCATGTTCTTGGGATCAATTACTCATCTAGGGCTTTTTTTTTTGGATTGGTCATGGGGCTTGAACTAGGGCCTGGGCACTGTCCCTGAGTTTTTTCACTCAAGGCTAGAGCTTTAACACTTTGAGCCACAGTGCCACTTCTGGTGTAGGCCATTTTGTATATCATTTAACATCTAAGAGATAAGAGAAAGTGATGGAAGGAATGCAGGTCTGTTTGTTATTGAAGAGTGGATTCAATTTCTTTCTGTTTTAGTAATGTTTTATTTTATTTATTTAGTCAGTCTTGGGGGCTGAACTCTGAGCCTGGGTCTTGTCTCTCAGCTCTTCAGCTCAAGGCTAGCGCCCTACCACTTGAGCCACAGTGCTACTTCCAGCTGAGGAATTGAACCCAGTGCCTTATGCACTCAGGGGTCTGGGCACTGACCCTTAATTTGTTGTTGTTGTTGTTGTTGTTTTACTCAAGGCTGGCCCTCTACCACTTGGGCCACATCACCACTTCTGGCGCTTTTTGGTGGTTAATTGTAGATGGAAGCCTCATGCATTTTCCTGGGCCAGCTGGCTTTGAACTTTGAAGATCAGATCTCAACCTTCTGAATAGCTAGAATTACAGGAAGAATAGCTAGAATTACAGCTAGAATTGAGCCACTAGTGCTGGGCTTGCTCTAGTGATTTTTCAGCATTAGATCTTGTTGATGCTGGAGAGGCTTGTTTTTATTTGAAATTGTCTTACAAATAGAGCTTGCATTACCAGCCCAGTTCAGATGGTTCTTTTTTGTATTGAAGGTAGCTGAGGGAGTAATTGAGTGAGTGATTGAATGCTATATTGAACATGGAAGGGAATGAATGAGAATGAATAAATGGGACAATGAGTGACAGAATAAGCACATGAATGGTGAATGAATGAGTGAAGGAATTTGAGGTATGTGGAAGGTACCCAAAGAATACCAAACTTAAGTTTGAAAGTGGGTTAGGCTCTGAAGAAGATATTGAGTAGGGGGACAGGAGTTCGAGACCATCCCAAAGCTTGGAAACAATGAAAGTCTCTCAAGAAATGTGTGTGAGGTGGGAAGAGAAGATGAACTTCGGAGGGTGTGGTAGACATTCTGGACTCCAGACTGGGGATTTGAGGGGTGATTAACAGGCACTTGGAGGGGGTGGGGCGCCAAATCTGGGGGTGGGAGGGAGGGGATATAATGGCTGAGATCCAAGGGCATGGTGTCAGAGCAATTTGGGCTTTTGGAGAAGTCAGCAAGCTAGGCTCAGGTGGTGGGCGGAGGTGGGGGTAGGAGCCTTCTGGTTGCTCAATGATGAATCAGCCAAGGAGAAGACAATGAAAACATTGGGGGAGGGGCAGGTGTCTCCAGGTGAGAGGCCCCTTTAGGGAAAGGATCTCCCAAGGAGATCCCAAGGAGTGGTTCTCCCAATGCCACTTTTTTGGGGGGGAGAGATTCTAATGTACATTATGCATACCTCCATGCCCTAGTCCCTCATTCTCAGGCCATGATCTGCCTGTGGCCAAGTCTGTGAAGGAACCTGCCTGGGAAGGGGCTGAAGGTACAGCACACCTGCCCTCCCCCCATGCCTGGAGGTCTTTAGGCCTAGCTGGTGGGAGGATGGGCAGCTGCCCTAGCAGAAGGCAGTGGCATGGGTGGGGCCAGTCTATTGGCCTCCAGGGTAGGGTGGAAGACACCTGACTGGCCTACTCTGATAGCCTGCTTTCAGAAAAAGCTTCGGAAAAGCTGCTGTCTAGATGGTTATCTCTGAGTTGTCCATTTTACAACCCATGGAAGGTTGGGAGGAGGTAGATTCCTGGGAGGAGGGCCTGGGAAAGAAAGCCCAGGGACACCAAAGCTGCCTGTCTGGATCTTCCATCTAGCACTCCTGAAACAGTCCATCCTCTGTTGGGGTCTCATCTGCGTCTTGTCTGCTGCTTTCAGAGGCCAGGTAGGGATTGGGTATCATACTAAGGAGGAGCAGGAGGAGGGACTCTTGGTGGGAGAAAGAAGACTTCAAGAAGGCAGGTGGAGGGCTTGCCCTTGATGACAGAACTAGAGGTACAACACCCAAACACCCATTTTTCCCTTTCCTTTTCCTTGACTGCTACCCACAGGACTCCTCACCCAGAGAATTAGTCTGGAATGGCAAGGGATTGGAGGTTCTTCAGATTCTCTCCCTATTCCCAAGGCTTGTTTGGGATAGGGCTTGGCACAATCTTTTCTGAAAGAAAAGAGTCTGCGGACAATTCCCAGGAGCATTGGGCCTGAGCCTGGCACACCCCCATCCCACCCAAGGGTGGTAAATCATGGGTTGAAAAATGTCTTCTTCTGTGAATGCTAGAGAATCTGTACAAATACTTACGAAGGCGTATTGAACCACACAGTTATACCCTTAACAAATATAGAGTATGGAAAAAAAATATGGTTTCCTGCAATCTTGGCACTGTATGTCATCCTTCTAGCCACAGACCAGAGTGGTCAGGCAGGCAGAGTGGGGCAGGATTTCCCGCCAGATATGCCCCAGCCTTGACCCCTCTTCAAGTCTCCTTCCTTCTTGCATCCTGGCCTCTTTGCTCATGGTCTCATCCTTTCTTTTTTTTTTTTTTTTTTGGGGAGTCCGGTCGTGGGCTTGAACTCTGGGCTTGGGTGCTTTCCCTCAGCTCTTCAGCTCAAGGCTAGCGCTCTACCACTTGAGCCACAACGCCACTTCTGGCTTTTTGCTTATGTGGTGCTGAGGAATCGAACCCAGGGCCACAGGCATGCAAGGCAAGCACTCTACCACTGAGCCACCTTCCCAGCCCTCACCCTTTCTTTAGGAAAAATAACTCCATAAAAGAAAAAGTTTGGCAAAGTGGTCAGGTACCTTAGGCATCTGGCATCAGAGCTAGCACGAGGTAGAATAAGTTGTAGAATGTCTCCTTTTGAGCAAGGCACTGAGTCAGGGGTATTATAGAGATTAAAAGGAGGGTAGATATTTGTCCCCAAGTCTGTGAGTCCTGCCGTCCAGTTTAGAATACAAAATAGCTGCATGTAAGAAAGACTGTATTTGCCTCGAGGAATGAGATCAGAGCCAGAAAGAAACAGTGATCAAACCAGTTAGTGACCCTAGCCAGTGTTGGTGTAGTGAAGGCAGACATGTTTGTGGCAGAACGGAACCAGGAGTCAAGGAGTCAAGGCAGGCATCCTGAGGAAGGCATGGTTTGGGCAGGGCCAGAATGATGGGCAGGCTGGGTAGACAGCAGGGTGGAGAGCACTGGGCGGCTGACATGGGAGTAGGAATGGCTACAAGAGAGATCAGAATGCAGGTGGGAGGGGCGGAAGTCTGTGGTGGGGCCTGGTGAAGGAGATCTCCCTAGTCAGACTGTGGGGGTTCAGGCCTGTATTGTGGCCCTGTCTACTGCCCCTTGCTTAGGAACCAGTCAGATGAAGGTGGCTGGAGCTCATTCTTAGGCTTCAGGGTGGGAGAGCAGTCTGGTTTGCTGGGGTAGACCTGGGGGGGCTCTGGGCATGGGCGGCGACAAATAGAGTAGATCCGCCTGCTCCCCTCATATCCTGTTATTCAGAGGCTATATCCGCTTGGAATGTGAATGCCTTTTGTCCTGGGGTGAGGGGGTGACGCTTGTGGCCTCTGCCAAGCAGCTGCTGCGTCCAGGGTCAGTCGCCAGCTGGAGCAGAGGGAGAGCCTGGCTCCTGCTTAGGTAATGAAGTAGGGGGTATCTTTTGGTCCTGCTGAATGTTTAGGGGTGGGGATGAGGGAGATAGGCCAGCAGAATGTGATGCAGAATTGGAGTAGCTACACAAAATTTAATTGGATGGATTAAGATGTTGTCCTTGTTAGGGAAATGGAGGAGAATGGAAAAGGAATAGGCTAGACTTGATCCCCAGCAGGGGAGGCCTGTTTATTGCCAGCCAGGGAGCACCAACCTTCTTGTGGGTTTGGAGGTTGATCAAGGGACTGGATTTTGGGGTGGGCTTATATAGGACTTAACAAGGAAGCAGAAAATAAAAAATGGGCTATGGTCTCTTGGGGGCCTAGGGCGGCGTCCTTGGCCAGGCTTCCGTTGGAATAACCTGCCTGCCTACAGGCATGTGGTCAGGCCTGTTCATGTGCACCTGGTGTCTTGTTGGACCTGGAGGAATAGGGCAGGAATCAATCCTTCAGTCCTATCTTAAAGAGGTGCAACTATGGCTTGAACCCCTGAATTCACTGCCTTGGATCCTACAGAAGGAGTTGGCATAGGCCTAGATCCTTACCTCCTTTGGTCTGTGTGTGTGTGTGTGTGTCTGTATGTCTCAGCAAGTCCTGTGGAAGACAAAAACCACCGCCCCCATCAGCCTTGACTTTTTCTATCAATTCTTAGCTGTGCTTGCCACCAGGATAGGGGCCTTGAATGGCTTAGAGGCCTGAGCTGTAGCAGGGCAGGAAAGCTGGGCAGTTACCCTCCTCCACTCCCCAAGGGAGTCTGTTGCTCAAGCCAGGATTCTGACAGGGGTGCCCGGGGCAAGGGAAGGGCCTGGGGAACCTGTCCAGGCAGTTGGACTGGGGAGCACTTGGATTAGAGGAGCCACATAGCTCTCATTCCAGGCCTCCCCTTCCACCCCTCACACCTACTGTGCTCCCAGCCTCTTCTCTTCTCCAAAGGATGAGCAACCAGGTACCAGTAGCTCACACCTATAATCTTAGCTCTTCAGGAGGTTGAGACCTGAGGATCATGGTTTGAAGCCAGCCTGGGCAGACTCTTATCTTAGAGGTATAGCTCAAGTGGTAGAGATCCTCCTTGAGTGAAAAGGCTAGAGTACAGTGTCCAGGCCTTGAGTTCAAGCCCCAATACCAGCACAAAAACAAAAACAAAATAAAACAAAAAAAGGATAAGCAGCCTGGGAGTGGAAAAGCAGGGGGCTGATGGTATCTCTTTTCCTCTCCCCTCCTCAGGTCCTGTGAGGAGCTGAAGCAGGGAGATGGCTGACTGCTACACTGATCTGGAGAAGGCGGTGGTTGTCCTGGTGGAAAACTTCTACAAATATGTGGCTAAGCACAGCCTGGTCAAGAACAAGATCAACAAGAGGAGCTTCCGAAAGATGCTCCAGAAGGAGCTAAACCACATGCTAACGGTGTGGCTCCCCACATGCAGCCTCTCCCCATTCTGCCCCACTGAGGCTCAAGTCCTTTCAGTTACTCTCCCCAGAGCCCCTTCTCCTTCCACAGGCCTCTGTCTTCTCCACACGCCCAGGCCTAGCTAGTGAAGATGCTGCCAGGCTCAATTCTGGTACTATCTAGGGTTCTGCCTTCCTCCTTCCCTCCTTCCCTCCCTTCCTTCCTCCCTCCCTTCCTTTCTCCCTCCGTTTCTCCCTCCCTCCTCCCTTCCTTCCTTTCTCCTTCCCTTACCTCCCTCCCTCCTTCTCTCCTTCTCTCCTTCCTTCCTTCCTGCCTTCCTGCCTGCCTGCCTTCTTTTGTGCTGGTACTGGGGCTTGAACTCAGAGCTTCGACACTGTCCCTAGGTTTTTTTTTTTGTCAGCCGTGGGGCTTGAACTCTGGGCCTGGGCGCTGTCCCTCAGCTCTGTAGCTCAAGGCGAGCGCTCTACCACTTGAGCTACAGTGCCACTTCCGGTTTTCTGGTGGCTTATTGGAGATAGGAGTCTCACGGTCTCTCCTGCCAGGGCTGGCTTTGAACCGTGATCCTCAGATCTCAGCCTCCTGAGTAGCTAGGATTATAGGCGTGAGCCACCAGCGCCTGGCCTGTCCCTAGGTTTTTTGCTCAAGGCTGGTGCTCTATCTCCTAAGCCACAGCTCTACTTCCAGATTTTTGGTGGTTACTTGGACATAAGAGTCTCACTGATTTTCCTGTCTGGGCTGGCTTCGAAATGAGATCCTCAGATCTCAGCCTCAGTAGCTAGGATAACAGGCGTGAGCTACCAGTGTCTGTTCTTGGGACTTTTAGAGGCTGTCACACTCATCATGCTGACCCCTGATTCTTTTGTAGGACACAGGGAACCGAAAAGCTGCAGACAAGCTCATCCAGAATCTAGACGCCAACCATGATGGGTGGATCAGCTTTGATGAGTACTGGACCTTGATAGGTGGCATCACCAGCCCCATTGCCAACCTCATCCGCCAGCAAGAGCAACAGGGAAGCTGCTAGAGGCCCTACCCAATACCCTTTCCAGGTCCTGACCCATGTCCTAGCCCTGGTGCTGGTCTCAGGCTCCCCCTCAGCCTCTTCTGCCCTCTCAGCCCCTTTCTTTCCTTTTCCCTCCATCCCTGCTCCTGCTCCTCCCTGAATAGCTGAGGGAAGATGTTAGGGTCCCCTTGTGAGTGTCTTGGTTTCAGGGGGTGCTTCCCTGAGGGTCTCAGCCCCTGGAGCCAATATGCCCTAGGAGCCTCTCTGTGAGATTTCAATGCTGTTTGGGGACCTTAAGAGTTCTCTCATCTCTTCAGTCTATTTACCCCAATAATGTCCGATGTTCCTATCTGATGCTTGCCTGACTCAGGATCTGTCCTGACCTCCGGAGGTCAGCTTGCTGCTTGAGGTCTCTTAAAAACAGCAGCAACAGCAGCATCCACTCCCCCTCCCTTCAGTTCAAGCCCCTCGGCTGGAAGGAAAAGCACTCCAGAGCTTCTCTTCCAGCTGCCTCAACCTGGGAATGAATGAGCTAAGCTTTGCTGAGCCTCCTTCCTCAGCTCAGCCACTGAGATAATGGCAATAAAGGCTGGATTTGGAATTTGTACCTCTTTTACCTTGTCCTTTTATGATGCTCATTAAACCCATCACACACCTTGGAAACTTCTGCTTTGGTGGTCTTTGCCCTGGACCCTGAGATCCAGAGAAATCTTTCAGAGAAATCAACCTCAAAGACAGAGCAAGAAAGGAGCCTGGACTTCACAATTCTAGCAGGTGCTATTGGCCTAAGCCAGTCTCCTCCCCCCACCCCCCACTCTACCTCTCCCTCTTCCTCTCTCCCTCTCTTTCTCTCTCTCTCCTGCTTCATGGAGAACTAGAGGCCATATGTCACTGTCTTCCTGATCTCATACTCAGACTCGCTTATATTCTGTTTCCAGGTCTCACTGCAGCCATGATTCCTTCTCAAGCTATGAATAGCACTGAGGTCCTGAATCCCTATCAAGGATTCTAATACACACACCTGCTGTGGGACGTAGGGGTGCAAGAGAGGATGTGTGGAAGACTGGAAAGGAAAAGAAGCATAGCTTGGAGCCAACTGCTCCATTTCAGGGCTTTAAAATGGGAGCAGACACTCTAGGGCTTAATATTTCCCAAGAGAAGTATAGGCACAGAGAGTTTTATAGGAACCCACTTATAGATTTTTAGCTTTCTAAAACTGGCTGTCTGTCAAGGTGTCCCTCTAGCTTCCTTTCCCACCTCCACATTGCATTAATCCTTTCTCAATTAAAAACAAAAGACATGACCTTTACCTGTCTCAGGGACTATGATGTTACTCAAGTGGTAAAGAATCTGCTCACTTTTTGTGTGTGTGTGGGGGGGGAGGTATGTGATCTCTCTTTCTTTCTTGCTCTCTCTCATTTACCTCTCTCCACATATTTCTTTCTTCTTTCTTTCCCTCCCCCCCCCTTTCTTTTTGTTGTTGGTCATGAGGCTTGAACTTGAACCTGGACACTGTCCCCGAGCTCTTCAGCTCAAGGCAAGTGCTCTACCACTTGAACCACAGTGCCACTTCCAGTTTTCTGGTGGTTAATTGGAGATGAGTCTTGCAGACTTTCCTGCTGGGGCTATCTTTGAACCTGGATCCTCAGATCTCAGCCTGCTAAGTAGCTAAGATTACAGACATGAGCCACTGGTGCCCGGCCATATTTTTCTTTTTTTGAACTTAGAGCCTCTCGATTAGTTTCTCTACCATTTGAGTCATATCTATTATCTATCATGGCAAAAAAACCCCCAAAAACCCACATAAGACTACCCTATTTAATTTAATTAATTTTTTTATGAGTTGATGAGTATTTTTATTGTGTCTATTCTATGGAAAGAGTTGTGTAATGTGGGATGAGTGGGTCTTTGATGGTTTTGTGGCCAATGCTTTTAAAAAATTAGCATATATTAGCTATGCAAAGGGGGAGATTTCATTGCAACATTCCCATGCATGTATACAATGAACCCCAATGTGTTCAAAGTATATATTGCTGTGTTATTAACTATATGCACGTAGTTTTTGTTTTTATGGCCTCAGACTCTTGTACTCAAGAAATCCTCCTGAATTAGGATCTGCTTCCCAATTAGCTGGGAACTGCACGTGTGAACCACAACTCCCACCTACATATGCACATTATTGTACAACAGATCTCTAGAATTTTTTCATTTTACATGATTATAACTTTATAATCACTGAATTACAGTTCTGCTCCTCTCTCCCCTCTGCAACAACCATTCTACTTCCTTTCCTTTCCTTTTTTTAAATATTTTTTTCTCTTTCAATTTTGTTTCTTTCATTTATTTTTTTGTTTCTGTGGTATTGAGGAAGTTATGCAAGCATTCTACCACTAAACCACTCTACCACACTCCTTTACTTTTTTAAAACAGTAGTTTATTGGAGATAAGTCTGGCTTTGAACCTTGATTCTCCTGAGTAGCTAGGATTATAGGTGTTAGCCACTGGCAACCACCTTTTACTTTGTTTCTTTTTTTTTGGGTCAGGTCGTGGGGCCTGAACTCTGGGCCTGGGCGCTGTCCCTCAGCACTTCAGCTTAAGGCTAGTGCTCTACCCCTTGAGCCACAGCGCCACTTCCAGCTTTTTTCTTTTTGCTTATGTGGTGCTGAGGAATTGAACCCAGGGCCTCATGCATGCAAGGCAAGCACTCTACCACTGAGCCACCTTCCCAGTCCCTTACTTTCTGTTTCTATGAGTTTAGTTGTCTCAGGTATATCTTATAAATTGAATCACATAGTATATGTCTCTCAGTCTCTGTCTATCTGTCTCCTCTTTCTCTCTCCTTCTTTCTTTCTCTTTCTCTCTCTCTTTTTTTTTTTTGTTGGTCATGGGGCTTAAACTCTGGGCCTGGGCACTGTCCTTAAGCTCTTCAGCCCAAGGCTAGCACTCTACCAGTTTGAGCCACAATGCCACTTGCTGTTTTCTGGTGGTTAATTGGAAATAAGAGTCTCACAGCCTTTCCTGCCTGGGCTGGCTTTGAACCTTGATCCTCAGATTTCAGCCTCCCGAGTAGCTAAGATTACAAGTACCCAGTTTGAATCATGTAGCATATGTCTTTTGTGACTGGTTTAGTTCATTTGGCATAATGCCATCTAGAGTTACCAGTATGATAGATTAGACAAGACTTCCTTCCACTTTATGTGTATACTACATTTTATTCATTTATCTACTGATGAACTTTTAGGCTGTTTTTATTTCTTGGTTATTGTGAATGAACATGGATGTACAATGGCCTCCTGAAGATCTTGTTTTCAATTCTTTTTGATGTATGCCCAGTAGAATTGCAAGGTCATAGGATAGATCTGTTTTAAGTTTGAGAAATCTTCACAATTTTCTTTTTTTTTTTTCTTTTCTTTTTTTTCCTTTTTTTGTTGGTTGTGGGGCCTGAACTCTGGGCCTGGGTGCTGTCCCTGAGCTCCCCAGCTCAAGATGAGTGCTCTACCACTTGAGCCACAGCGCTACTTCCAGCTTTTTCTGCTTATATGGTGCTGAGGAATCGAACCCAGGGCCTCATGTATGCCAGGCAAGCACTCTACCACTGAGCCACCTTCCCAGCCCCACTTCACACGGTTTTCTACAGTAGCTACATCATTTTACAATCCCACCAACAAAGTATAAGCATTCGATTTCCCCACATCTTCACCTACACTTGTTTTATTCTTTTTTTGTTGTTGTTGGTTATGGGGCTTGAACTCTGGGCATGGCGCTGTCCCTCAGCTCTTCAGCTTAAGGCTAGCACTCTGCCACTTGAGCCACAGTGCCACTTCTGGTTTTCTGGTGATTAATTGGAGATAAGAGTCTCTCAGACTTTTCTGCCCCGGTGGCTTTGAACCATGATCCTCAGATCTCAGTCTCTTGAGTAGCTAGCATTACAGGCGTGAGCCACTATAGTCATTCTTTGAGTTATGGAACATTAGAGCTTGATCCTTCTGATTAATTTTGTATTTAACTAACCCTTTATCTTCTGCCTTTCAGTGTGCATGTGTGTATGTGTGTTTCTGAGATAAGACCTACCAAAATAACCCAGGCTAGCCTTGAACTTGCTGCCCATACCCATATATTATACATTTTTAAATGGTATGCGGTTTGAACTCAGTGTCTTGAGCTTGCTAAGCAAGCTTAAGGAAACTGTAAGAGCAGTTATACTTGTCTTGTTCCTGATCTTAGAGGAAAATTCTAAGTTTAAAGCTGTTGGATGTGATGTTAGTTGTGAGTTTTTCACATATGACTTGAGTAATTTTCCTCTATTCCTAATTGCCTTTGATGTTTTTTATCATGAAAGGTGTTGAATATTATTAAGTGCTTTTTTGCATCAATTGAGATGATCATTTGATTTTTTTGTCCTTATTTTTCTATTTGTATGGTACAGTTATTGATTTCTTTGTGTTGAACTAACCTTGCATAAATCCTTCTTTGGTGATGGTTTATAGTCAATCTACTGTTCGATACAATTTGCGAGCATCTTGTTGATAATTTGTGTGTGTGTATGTGTGTGTGTGTGTATGTGAGTTCTGGGGCTTGAACTCAGGGCCTGGGCACTGTCCCTGCGCTTTTTTGCTCAAAGCTAGTGCTCTATTACTTATGGATTTTTGGAAGTGAATTGGAGATAAGAGTCTCATGGACTTTCCTACCCATGCTCTCTCCAAACCATTACCTTAGATCTCAGCTTCTTGAATAACTAGGATTATAGGCATGAGCCATCGGTGTTAACTTGTTGATGACTTTTGCATTAATATTTATCAGGGATTTTAGACTGTAGTCTTCTTATAACGTCTTTAAACTTTGGCATTAGAGTAATGATGGTCTCACGAAATAAGTTCAGAAATATTGCTTCTATCTTCAGGTTTTTTTTTTTTTGGTGAGTTTGTGAAGGATTGGTATTAATTTTTCTTTAATGTTCAATAAAATTCTCCAGTAATGTCATTTAGTCCTGAGCTTTTCTTCATTGGGGGTTTTGATCAGATTCACTATTTTATTAACTATAATTCTTTTTTTCATTTGGGTCAGGTCGTGGGGCCTGAACTCTGGGCCTGGGCGCTGTCCCTCAGCTCTTCAGCTCAAGGCTAGCGCTCTACCACTTGAGCCACGGCGCTGCTTCCGGCTTTTTTTTTTTTTTTTTGCTTATGTGGTGCTGAGGAATTGAACCCAGGACCTCATGCATGCAAGGCAAGTGCTCTACCACTGAGCCACCTTCCCAGCCCCTTAACTATAATTCTTCAGATTTTATTTTTTTATTTTTTGAATTTTTTTTGTTCAGTCATGGGGCTTGAACTCTGAGCCTGGGCGCTGTCCCTGAGCTCTTCAGGTCAAAGTGAGCACTCTACCACTTGAGCCACAGTGCCACTTCCAGTATCCTGGTGGTTAATTGGAGATAAGATACTCACAGACTTTCCTGCCTGGGCTGGCTTTGAACCTTGATCCTCAGATCTCAGCTTCTTGAGTAGCTAGAATTATAAGTGTGAGCCACCAGCACCTGGCTGTTTTTTGTTTTCTTAAGACAAAGTTTCACTATGTATCCCAGGGTGTCTTGGAATTTACAATTCTCTGACA